TATTTTCATGATAGACTTATGCTATTTAACTTTTGTGTCTATATGACTACTTTCATGATAGTCTTTTGTGTCTATATTACTATTTTCTTGATAGACTTATGCTATTTAACTTTTGTAACCCAAATTTCCCTCCCCTCCAGGGATAAATAAATATATAGATTTTGTTTCCTTTTTTTCCACAGAAGAGATTTTGAATATTGTAAGCCTGTGCCTTCTTCTTGCCCACTTCCCTGTTTCTGAAGGACATTTTTAGGCTTTTGTTTGGGAGATTCTTTAATCTTTGGACATTCAATATGGACGGTTGAAGAGAAGCACTGACTTGTGTAAATTACCTCCTTCATAATATGGCCTTGTTTGTCTTGCTCTTTGTCAGCACTAGATTCTAGATCCTCATTTTCGTCTTTAATGTTTCCTTTAACCCATACAGTGGTCGTTGGTCGTTGTTGTCATATTATGATGTCTCAGCTTTTGGTCTGATCAGCCCTAGTAGGTCTGAGCACTGATAATATAGGTGTTTTTATTTGTGATTCTGACTCTGAATGTTATTCCTAAAATTAAAATGTGTGTATGTATGTTATTCTCATGGGACATAATTTCTGGTAGATTGTGGTCAAACACTTGACCATTTCCTTGTTGTTTCACACCCACAGACAAGACCCAAATGGCACTTGTCCTATACCATTCCTGTACTTGTAGGGTTTTTTTCTTGTATTTTTTGCCTATTTGGATTTGAGTCTTGCTTTGCTTCTCACCTGATTACAGTTGTAAAGTGTTTCCTATTTGGTAACAATATGCCATGCTCAATGTCAGTTCATCAATTCTGAGAGTATAGTATTTCATCGAGTATCAATACTTTTATTGCTATGGCTTTTGTAAATGGTTGAATGACAGCTCTTTCCTTGTGTTGCTCTCATCTTACTTTTGCCACTCACTCACCGGTTGTTACCTTGTCGCTTCTTATACATGACTTGTAAATCTTTATTTGTCAATCTCTGCTTATTGGGTCCGTAGTATCATCATATAAAATATTCAGCCTTTCTTATACCATATCAGCTTATGTGGATAATTTTTGTGCAGTAAAAAGCTGTGCTAATTATAGCATGTCCCTTCTGTGGTACATGTATAAGTATAAGCCACTAGTATAAGATTTGTTTCCCTCACTGTTTTTGGACAAAGCAAAATTTGCATTTCCCTCCTGTGATATTGACCATGGTGTAGGGAGTTTATAGACAGCAATGTGCATACATGAGTACATTGTTTTCTGTCCACTGGTGTCTGTGATATCATCTTATGGTTTTGCACCTAGCAGATAAAAGAACTAGGTTGGATTCAAATATTGAAATGTTCTTTGGGACCTGCAAACCTGGAAAGGCCTTGATGGGCCGAGTGGAAGCAGCTCACCCACAAAATGTTCTAGATTGTGCCACAATGGTGTAAATATTAACCTGTCCCCGTGGTTTTATGCCCCCCGCATAATTTAGCAAAATTTGATCATTTTTTGCATAACTTTGGATTATTTTCCTTTATCATTCTTTGTTAAAATTAACAGAATCACATAATTTCAAATTTTTCGGCTCAGTTTGCATAATTTCAGAATTGTTCTTGCATAAAACGACGGGGACAGATTAACATAATATAATCAACTTTTTTTTCTGTAAGAGTGCTAAGAATGGTTTGAAGATTTTAGAACTATTACAATCATTGTCAACTATACAGTCTTTTTTGTTGTTGTTGTGATGTACAATGTACAAAGTGTATATGAATCCTTCACTGCTTCTCAATCTCATGTCTATTTGCTTGATGAAATGTTAATGTACCTTTAGTGTTACTAGTTTATGATTGAAATATGTGAGGCAACGTGGTGGAATCAGGCTCTCATCAAAATAATCAAAGTGAAGAAACTTGCACTTTTCTTTCCGCAGGTTTGCGAATTTTTATAAAATTTTTGTTTTTCGGCTCAACACCTTTCATGCCCATTAAAGAACTCATTTCTGTGTGGATTTTTATGAAAAACGTTGATTAAAGGCACAAAAAATGTAAATTTTCAGTTACCACGGACTCTTAAGCTAAGCAAATAACTAATCTTTAGCGGCAATTTTCTCACTAATTTTACCTCTGAAAACAAGTGACCCCCACCTCCTTCTTTTGCTAATATCTCGACTTGTATTCAAGATAAATGGATATTTTTTTCATCCAAATAAAGACAAGTGAACAACCTTAAGATGATACCAATAACTCTACACCCCCAAATACTGACGAGAGCCTGATTCCACCACGCTGCCTCACATATATGTGTGATGATGGAGGAATGTCATGTATTATAATTTACTTTATTTCTTTCAAACAGAACTTTTCTTGTTGGAGTTATTTCTTTCATTATATATATAATGAACTGTTTGCAAAGCATAATAATCCCAAATGGTTAACGGGGCCCATGGTTCTCAGCAAAACAGTAAATGTGCTTCACCATTCACCCCATAGCCTAACTACTACTACTAGTACTAGGCAACACCAGCCTTGTTGTACAAACATGGTTTATTTTTTCAACAGCACAAACAAAGTTTTCTATCCAATTTGGATCAACATCCATTTTGATGAGAGTAGACTGTTTAGAAATAACCGCGCGACTGCAGCTGACAAAAAAAGTCTGCTTTGTGTTGTGTGTAGAAGCTTTGACTTTACTGCAAATGTGCAACGCACCAGGTGACCTTGATACACAACTTCACCATTGACGATCAATTAAAAAATAACACAATTTGCTAATATTTAGCCTACATGGTATCGCCCCACATCAGGTCGACAGGTTCACCGCGAACCATTTTGCCTCTTTTGAGACGAATATGAAATCAGTTTTGAGATGTGCTAATTATTTTTAAAAATTTGTGCCCCGGGTTTAATCCTGCATTTTAAATAAAGTGATTCTACGTCACAACCTGCAAGCCCCACGATCCTGACAGCAGGCGCCACCAAGTGTGGGACAGTTTTGTCCCAATGCGGTAGGCGGCTATATTTCTCTATAACTATAACCACAGACAATATTACCCCGGGACTGGAACAGTCCTGTCCCACCGATTTTGTAGAAATTCACAACTTCTGGGGACTAAAGCAAAAATGTCCTGTCCTAATAGTAATAGGTGCGGTACATTACACTCTAATTCAAAGTCCAGACGAGTCTGTCCCACAACAAAATGTCGTAGTGTGGTAGAAGCCTGATATTGCGAGATCATTGCTTTGTTTGTGTTTCTTCTTCTCCTTTCAACTGAAAGATCTAGGCTCATTGCATGTGTATTTTCTTTGTAGTGCCACTGACTGTAGTGTCTCTAGGCCATTCCCATAGGGGGGACATTTCTCGTTCAAGCACAGTAGAATTGTAAATGGGCTGATTCATGTCACGCTCATAACTGTGCCTGATCTACAACAGGGAACTGCTGCTTTTTCTTTCCTAATCCTTACTATTGTCATTTTTCCTCTACTTCTTTTGTATGTTTGTCTCACTCTTGAGACCTGCTATTTCCGGGGTGCCTTCATAGTTGAAGCAGACCTTGTGCTGTTGAAGCTAGAGAGGTGAGCAGAGAAAGTCTGATTCCCTGTAAAGACCTCTGTTGACACCCGCCCCGTGGCGCTCATATGACCGTATGCAGTTGCGAGCGCCGTAAAACCCTCTACTATAATCATAAAAAATAAAGCCTTGTGAAGTAAACAGCAAACGTGACGAGTCGTTTGACAAACGTCAAAAAGGCGCACCACTGCATCAGAACATAAACACTGTGCGACTATAGCATAAATTCAAAATGTGTGCGAAAACAAAACGCGCACAAAAAACCCCAACCTGAAGTCCAATGTGAACACAGGTGGCTGAGAAGTCCAACCTCTTTCACATTTTTCTGTCTTGCAACTACAGTCAAATCTGTGTAAGAAAGATGGCCACCCATTGTCAAGGAGAAAAGTGGCCGTATAAGATAGGTGGCCGTCTTAGGCAGGACTGATGAAGATGAAAAAAACCCCCCCAAACCATTCCCATTTGAGGTCCCAATCGAAAGTAGCCGCATTGCTGTCGTTTTGGTTGTTGTTGGTTTGTACATGTATTTTGTTTGTTATTTTGTTGCGGATTTTGCGCAAGGTTGACAATAAAACTAAATGTATCAGACGAGGAAGACCGAGTGCCATGTTAGAACAAACTCATGAGTCGCCACCACTCGGAAAACGAGAGACGCTTCGGTCATGGGTTCATGTTACCACTCTGAGAATGAGCGACGCTTCTGTCATGGGTTCATGCTGACGTCCTTTGTTACAGACTGGGTAAACAGTGACCACTCATCTCACTTACGATTTGTGTATGAGTTCTGGGCAGGACTTATGGGTTATGAGGGATCACACGCTTACCTCACCAGCAGCTGAAAATTGATACCTATTGGTCAACCATGGGAGGGGCCTACGCCACATGATCGTTAAAGAGACTACCTTACAACAACGACAGGTGATTGAATTATGACGGCTCGTCCACAACGCTAGGGGCCAATGCACAATTTATGACAAAACATAATGGAGTCACTAAGGTGGCCGTCTAAGACAGGTGTTATTGCTTAGTGTGATAGGGGTTGTGTGTTAAAATATGGTGGCCGCGGCCGCGTTGGACAGGTGCCCGTTTTACACAGTTAAATTATATATATAGAAAAAACGCAAGGGGGGAAATGGAAAGTGGCCGTTTGTACAGGTGGCCATTAGGGCAGGTTCCACTACTTGAAGTGTCTTTCTTAGTTTAGTTTTAGTAGAGGTTTTATGGCGCTCACAACTGCATACGGTTATAAGAGCGCCAGAAGATTAGAGGTGTTACAGGAGAGTAACAAACATAAAACAGAAAAAATGGAGATAAGGATGATAGATGTCTGATAGGAAAGAAGAAGCAAACCACACCAGAGCACCCGCCAACCACCCACGCTTAAAGTGTCCGCATGTTTCCGACACAGCAAAGAGGAAAAGAAAGAAACCAACAAAGAAACTACTGAGAGCATTAATCTGTGTTTTAATGTTCAGTCTTGTCCAGTCTTTGAAGTACGGGGTCAGAGGTCATCATAGGACAAAGCGTCACTCCACTCTGCCCTGACCTAGGACTACCACATGTGTGAGTACATATAATGTACAATAAAAATCCGGCGATCATATGACTTATCATGACTAACAGTGTTGTACATATGTATTGTGGTAGCAATTTGTATTAACGAAAGACAACAAAAGAATAGAGACCTGCGGAGGAAATAGAGATAGAAAAATTCTGCTAATTAGCACATATCCAGCAGGAAAAGATGGTAATCCGCTAAACAAAAGAATGCATAAGTCTTTGGCAAACTTTCACATTATGAAAATAACCGTTCTCAACTACACACAAAGCCACTCTGCAAATGGGCATCCATTACCACAAGCCAATACTACGAAACAAAGAACCAAACATTTGTCTTTGCTGAACAAACACAAAGGGGGGAGGGCACGGGAAATCATTCAAAACTGACTTGAGATAAAACATATATATAATAAAGCCAGTTTTTCATTTACGAAAACTTTACCTCATCTTATCTAGGCATCTTTCGACAATCTCACTCAACAAGTAACAGCTGATAAGAGTGATTGTAATCCTTTCAAACAGTTTCAAGAAGGTTTTGAAGAAACAGCCTGGTGGCCTCTCACCTAACATTTACTTTCTCTCAAATTTTGCTCACATGTACACAAAAGTCCCCAGACGCTAATTTTAAACCAGCCATCTCACTGATATATCAAATATCTGAACTGAAAAAAAAAAAAGATTCCAACTCAGAAAAATAAGAGAAGAGGAGAAAGGGCAGTGGACTTGACTCCCTGTGACCTACACCTTCAGAACAAACTGATGATACTACAGAGAAAAGATGAGCCACAATGACATAAAGTTCCATAACATAAGCAATAATTTTGTGATTGTGAAGACAAAACTATAATGAACTCACTGTGGACAACTGTCCTGAAAAAAATTATTCCTCACCTCAAATTATTTCAAAAGCATGGGTCAGGTCTGGAAATGTCAACAAATTTTCTAGTATCACATAGGACATTTACCGGTATGGGCCTGATCAAATGAAAAGGAAGATGATTTTTTACTCTATCGGAGACACAAGTTTTAAGCACTTACATTGATTTGAAAGAAGCATAGAATTCAACCCTGACACCCTTTTCACAGAGCACTTTCCAACAGAAGAAAATATTTTCATTAAGGAGTCAGAAATTCGACAGTACTCATTTAGGTATCACTTTCCACAAACTTGGATAGTTTGTTAAAAATTAAATACGTGTTTAAGGCTTCAGGAAAACTTGGTAAAAGCCGCAAACATTGACACTGAGTTGATTGGGAAAAGCAGGGACAAAATTAATTTTCTCAAAAGCAAAACTAGCATTCCATATTAAAACATTTAGACTGTATACTAAAATATATACAGACCAAGACTGATCACATGGCTAGAGCCCCTCAGAAACAAGCTATATATAGTAACATAGAGGCAACTCAATGGACTGTTGTGCTTGCAAGATGTCTGCTACTGTTGTGTGAACAACGTTCAGAATTTTCAGAATTGCAAAATCGTTGGAATCATGTCAATAATGATTTGGGGACCTTTGTGCTAGACTATCCTGTGCCATCACACATATATAAGGCAGCATAAACATGTATCTTATAGAGTGAACGTGCCCTATACTGTGACGCAATACCACACTTACGGGACTGACCAGAACTGAGAAGAAGAAAAAAACCTACTTAAACTCAGGGCAAGAGAGAATAGAGGGCAAGTGAGAATAGAGGGCAAGTGAGAATAGAGGGCAAGTGAGAATAGAGGGCAAGTGAGAACAGGAGAACTGTCAGGAACAGCATAAAACCCTGTGACAACTTCTAATAAAATGGACTCGAGCTTCCAACACTTTACACAAGCATACATGGGGACCAAGGAGAGGAGAGAGGACAAAACCAAGGAGGAACACACACGCAAACACGTGCATGAGCCGACATCACAAGCCGACTGGGTCGTCTTCCAGTTCAAGGGTCTCCAGATCCTCCTCTACCAAGTCGATATCATCTCCGGCAAACAGGTCTTCGTCAATGTCAAGGTCACCGTTGATGGTGGCATCCACAGCAGCAGCGATAGCAGCGTCCGTCTCTTCTTGAAGTCGCGTCTTGGCATCAGACGGGAGGGCAGCTGCCTCATCCAGCTTGCCAGACTCTGAGAACAGTAAGAGTGGTCCAAGATGAAAACAGAAAAATACCACTTTCATTCATGGTGTCTATTCTATACTGCCAAGATCTAGATTCCATATATTTTTTTAGTAGAGATTTTACAGCGCTCGCAACTGCATAAGGTCATATGAACGCTAAGGGGTGGATGTCAATAGAGAAGTCCTCACAGGGAATCAGACTTACTCTGCTCACCTCTCTAGCTTCAACAGCACAAAGTCTACTTCGACTATCAAGGCACCCTGGAAATAGTGGGTCACAAGAGTGTGACAAACATACAAAAGAAGTAGAGGAAAATGAGGATAGGATGAGGAAAGAAAAAGCAGCAACTCCCTCTTGAAGTTCAGGCACAGTTATGAGCATGACATTGATGAATCAGCCCATTTACAATTACAATTCTAATGTGCATAAGAACTCGAGATGTTAATGTCCCCCTTTTGGGAATGACCCAAAGACACTTCAGTCTGTAGCACTGCCCTGGGGGGGGGGGGGGGGGGGGGGGGAGATTCCATATATATTCATCTCTTTTTTTTAACTCTTTCCTCTCCGTGGGGGATAAACCCACTATGCCACGGCCCATTTTTGGTAGCCTACTAAATCTAAAAATGACGAAAACATTACTAAATTGGTAATTAAATCAAAACAAATGAACCTACTTCGATAGGTTATCTAATGAATGAAATCCCGATGACAATTGCTGAAAAGTAAATATGATGTCGAAGTCGTCATAGTCATAAAGGAACGTGCCTAAGCCAGATATAGAGTTAAACAAGAATTTAGATCTTCTACACATCTGTCTCATCAAGATGAGAGCAAATCTAAAAAATCTAAATTAAATATCTGTTTTGAACCTGTCTTGACACGCAGTATTACCTATGCACCCTTAGTCGCCTCTTGCGACACAGTATTACCTATGCACCCTTAGTCGCCTCTTGCAACACAGTATTACCTATGCACCCTTAGTCGCCTCTTGCGACACACAGTATTACCTATGCACCTTTAGTCGCCTCTTACGACACACAGTATTACGGCAGGCGTTATTCTTTGCTCCCCCATAGTCAACCTATGCCCTCCCCCCCCCCCCCCCCCATAAACAGATTAGGAATTGGACAAAAGGAACACTGAAAAGCAGTCCAAATGAGAGACTTTACACCAGAAAAGTCACCACCTCCTCTCCCTATGTACATCAAAGAAACAAGTAGTACCTTGGTGCTCGGAGGTTCCATTGACGGTGACTGCAGTACTCAGCCTGTCAGCGGTGGCTTGCGTCCCTGAAGCGTCCACATCGGTGGCCTTGAAGTTGGACAAATCCACGTCCACTACCTTGAACTCATCCATCTCCTCCTGACAAGTCAAAAACAAAAGCTATGAGACAAATTTAGTGACAACAGGGCTGCGTAATAATTATTTGTTCGACTTAATCCACGCCGCAACCTGATGGACCAGAGCCCATGCCTCCTGAAAGTATACTGTATGCCTGTGTGTATCTCATGTTCTGTAGTCCGCGTTCGGGGGGGGGGGGGGGGGGGGGGGGGATGGGTTTATTTTTCAAAGGGGTATTTAAAGAAAGCCATGAAATGAATAATGAGATGAGGGGTTAAAAGTCAATTTATAGATTTAGAGTACCCCCCCCCCCCCACACTTATTCATTTGACCAGCCTGTTCATTCAGATCTACTATTTTAGTCGCCTAGTAGTGGGGAGCACATATAGCACTGCAGCCTGGGCACACTGACCTACTTCTATCATTCAAAAATCTTGCATACATTCATGGTATCATGAATACTTTCAAAACACAACCTAACGAGCACTTTAAAATTAACATTATGTAGCAATGACAATGAAAAATTAAATTTTCATCCGAATTGCTTAAAAATGGGCTTAAATGAAACTAGAGTAAATTCTAAGAACTGTGGTTTTTAAATTTTAAAAATCCATTGATAAATAAAAAAGTTATTGGGATTTTTGTTTGCAAAATGTTGGAGGACCTTCATATAGGAAAAAATCGCCAAAATGTGGGACATGTTTTGATGTATTTTGAGGAAAAACTGTTCATAAGCCAGTAATGAATTGGAGCATATGAATGAAACTTGGCATCTCCATGTGATTTTTAGTGCCAATTCTAGTTCTGCTATCACTTTTTCGTTGTCTTCATTACTTTGGATCTTAAAGACTGATATTTGCGTGAAATTTGTTGAATTGCGTGACATCGTTTTTACCGCGACGCGATCACCCCTTCTAAAACTCAGTAAAGCGCTATCGGGAAAACCCGCGATGTAGTCATCGGTGACCCATTTGGTTATAGGCAGCCAATCACATGCCGCCTAGCGATCACGCGCCTCTTGCATGCCGGCACCTCGCGTTTGGAATGCGCGATTAAGTTTCTAGATCTAGTGTTTTATCAATGGGTGGGTGGTAATTTTAAGTTGGTACGGAAAATCTACTAAACGCAGAGATCTGAAATTTTACAGCAATAAAGAAGACATGTGGGGCGCTTGTGTGGTCGGCGATCAACCCGCAGCTCCGCTTAGTTTTCGAACCGCAGAGGAAATTCTCACAAACACGGCAATATCTCTGGTTCTAGTAATCGTTCGGGATTGTACGCTGGCATGTCGTTAGTTTAAACTTTCCTCTGGTTGGTTGCCGAGTTTCATTTATTTTCGTCCAGGAGTTTTCCCGTAACTAAACTTAGAAGAGAGTCACTTCTGATTCCGAGCGGCCCAAAAAATACCCCTCGCGCGGAGGCCGATTTCCAGCACAAGGCGCAGCGGGGGATTGGCATTGCTACATTATGAGTTGTGGCATCAGAAGGTCGAATTATCTTTAATTCTGTCTGGTATAAAGAAACAATTATTGTACTGAATCCAGTGGCAGTTGAGTAGAGACGGGCAGGAAGCGCTTTTTCCTTCACGAGCGAGAAGACCGAGAAGCTGACCTACTTCTCGCCGAGACCGGTCCCGGGAACGAGAAATACTTCGCGTCTCGTGCCTCGAGCAATACTTCTCATTTCGGGACCAATTTCTCTTCTCGCCCCGCAGTTCGAGCCACTCGTTCAGCAGAGAAGGACGGCCGTGGCCGAGATTTCTCTTCTCGCCCCACAAAACGAGCAACTCGTTTAGCGGGAAGGCCGATCGTGGCGGGGATCTAAACTTAGAAACTAGGCTTGCCCTGTTGCGCAGGCGCAGGCGGTGAAGGAAGGTAGGGAGATCAAGGCCTAGGCCCCAATCAACTCCCCACCCGCCTCGTCTCGCCACCCTCTCCCCTCCCTTTCAGTTTCACACACAGGACGACACGGTGATGGGTGGCACTGTCTGCGTTGTCATTTCTCGCCTCTCACTCTCGTTACTGTTACTCGTTATGTCAAGCCAACGAGCAGTATCAAGTCTTGGTACCGAGCAGTAGTTTAGTGCCCGAGAAGCGACGGGCAGGGCGTTTCTCGTGATAAACGAGTACTCGGCTCGTCTCGTGCCCGCCCCTACAGTTGAGCACTTAACCCTCTAGTAGATGTAAAGAAATGTATAAATGCAGGGTTTTAGAAGGAGGGAAGACGCAGAATATAAAGCAGACCAAGAAAACCCAAAACATTTCACAGCTAATGAAAGATGATAATGTTGTGGAGTAAATCTGAAGAACATAATCGTCAAAAGAAACACACAAACCTCTTCCCGTTCTATGGCAACTGCTCCATCTTGGGCTTCATCATCATCATCCTTGATAAGGTCAGGATTGAACTCAAACATTTGACGACCACTGATCTGTTATGAAAGGAAACAAACTTTGAAATTCTGGCATCCAGCAAGAGGTCCAATCTACAAGTAGAATGCAGGTGAAATTTGCATGATACTTTAATATTCCTACACATGCCAATAAACACATAAATGACAATAACTTCCACATTCAGGTACAAAATATATGAGACAACAGGACAATCTTTCTGTTGGCAAGTTGTAATTTGCAATGAGTTGATACAGCACCTAAAAGCAGACTGCACTATTTCGTGACCTCAGTGCTTCCTTGTCGTATCTTCATTTATTTTAACAGTAAAAATGTGACATCTTCTTAAACTCACTCTTTGTGATGTACTGTTTTCACTGTTCTTAAAAATGGAAATATGACAAAAAAAGCACTGGGGTCACGATTTGTATTACCAACAAAAATGAGCAGACTCTTCTTGAGCACCTGCCAACCATTTAACAATAGAAATACAAAGAGAACAGTAAGAAAATGAACAGGTCTCACATCAGGATACAAACAAACAATAGAAAAACTTTATCAAATAAGATGTAACTGGAAATAGACCAAGACCTAGCTATCAGTACGCTGTGACAAGCAAAGAGTGAAGAATAATAATAATAAATAGCATTTGTATAGCGCATATCCCCGCTCAACTGCAGGCTCTATGCGCTTTACAACTATTATTACCCCAGCAGACCACAGAACACTCCGAAACATTCTCAGCTTCCCGGGAAGCATACAGTGCAAGCAGCTGATTAAGCGCTCAAACACTAACAAACTGACAAGATCTTTCGCTATCTATAGCCGGGTACCCATTCCCACCTGGGTGAAGTGAGGGAAATTTGTGTAAAGTGTCTTTCCCAAGGACACAACGTCGGGCCCCTGACGGGATTCGAACCCACAACCTTACGGTTGCGAGTCCGAGAGACTAACCACTAGGCCACCGAACATTTTCCCACCAAGTAAACAGCATACCGGCACATAGAGTGACTACATACCCCAACAGTGCGTCCAGCCTTGTAGTCAGCTTTCTTCTTTTCCTGTTCTTCATAGTGCTGCTCCAACTTTTCTCTTTTCTGTGGTGACATTAAAAAAAGAGTAAAAATTTATGTAAAAATGTCATTCTTGTGAACATCACATGCAATTGTCCATCTCCAGCTATATGTAACAGTAGAAAAATCATGGAAATCTGAGAATTAGTTTTAGTTTAGTTTTAGTTGAGGTTTTACGGCGCTCCCAACTGCATATGAGCGCCAGAAGATTACAGGTGTTACAAGAGAGTAACAAACATAAAAAAGAAGAAGGGGAGATAAGGACGATAGATGTTTCATAGGAAAGAAGTAGCAAACCACACCAGAGCACCCGCCAACCACCCACAATCTGAGAATGCAGCTAGGATGAGAAAAGATCATCACCATGTAACTATTCTAACTGCATGATCTGATTTCAACAGAGTGAAAATGTTCAGAAAATTAGAAGATCTTTTCATCAGAACAGTATTATAACTGCATGCTCCACTATGATGCCTTAATATTTACCCACCACAACACAATATTTCCTTACACATTTCTGAAACAATCTTGTCAATTCTGGATAAGTCTTCTAAACAGAGATTGAAATACTTTTGAAATTACAGTGGTGTCTGCCTTACAGACAGCTCTTGGTGATGGGGAGTAAACAGAGTTCTGGTACTCAGTTTTTTAGTTTTAGTAGAGGTTTTACGGCACTCGCAACTGCATAAGGTCATATGAGCGCCAGAAGAATAGAGGTATTACAAGAGAGTAACAAATATAAAAAAGAAGAAGGGGAGATAAGGACGATAGATGTTTGATAGGAAAGAAGGAGCAAACCATACCAGAGCACCTGGTACTCAGTGCAGTGTATTTTTGGCCCAAGTAGGAGTTGTGAGGAGATAAACAAGAGAAAAGGGGCAAGTCGTGGTGTTCCCAGAAATTTTGAATGATCAAAATATGGCAAGAAAGGTTGCCATTAGAGGCAAAAGATACTATAAAAAGAGGTTATCTATATAACAAAATTCCGTTACACAAGTTTAGGTTGGTGTTAGTCAGATGTGGCTCATATTTGGGGCGCTGACAAGTAGACACCACTGAATCTTCAAGTCTAGACTGGTAGTCTCCCATGTTTGCTGAGAGACAAAAGGGGAGAAAAAAGGATTAAAAACAAGCAAAGAATAACAAATGCAAACCTTTCTCTCTTTCCACTTAAGAAAGGTTTCCAGTGTCACCTTGGTTACATTAAATCCCAAAGCAGCTCTCTGAAAGACAAAGACACAGAAAATGATAATAATCAGTTAAGGCAAAGCATAATGACAACACAGCTGTAGACATCCATTTCTCTACAACATATCAGAATTGAAAAGTATTTAGAAGGTAGAAACTAATTTTAAGATGCTTCACATGGCTGAAGTAAAACGTCTTACATTATTTTAAACAGTATACAATCAGACAACACACGTAATACACAGAAACATATGCCTCACGACGCGATGGAATCAGGCGCCCGTCAATTTTTGGGCATCTCAAGTAAAGGTATAGTCTGAAAGCTGATTCACGAGCCTTGCTTCCAGGGAAATATATATCCAAATTATCTTGAAGAAAAGTCAAGATAAATGTGATTGAAGGAGGTGAAGTCACCTGGTTTCAGAGGTGAAATTAGCGAGAAAATGACAGCCGAAGTTTAATAACTCCAATAGCTAAAGAAACCTTGAAAAGTGAAAAAGACATATTTTGAGCCTTTGATCAATGTTTTTCCGTAAAATTCACCTGGAAATCTGCATTTATAAGGACATAAATGGGACGAGCCAAAAAACAAAAATTCAACAAAAATTTCCAAACTGGTGGGAAAATGCCAGTTTCTCTGATTTCCTTATTTTGACGAGTGCCTGATTTGACCACACTTCCTCACATAGGAGTTTTTCAAAAGGGTGTCCATGGCATTCACTCCAAGAATAAAAGAACAATAGGTCCCACTATACTGTTAACAACCCCCACCCCCCTCCCCAAAATCAAAAAGAATAGCAGACATTCACATAAAATGATAATAGAGCCAGCTGTCATGACAGGCACTGACAATACGTTACTTCTGTGCTCCAACAAGTCACAGAGGTCATCATGATGTCATGTCCCTACAGGAATTACTTGGTGCTGACAAAGATTTACAATGTTTTTGGGGGGTTTTTTTTATAGTAGAGGGTTTCACAAGTTTAATAAACCCATTTCAACATGCAGCCTTTATAAGTAATAAAAATAACATTTGTAAAGAATAAGAACAATCGCTTCAAGAAAATAATAAAAATTTTAAAAAATTAATTAAAGATAACAAATGTAAAGAATAAAAACAATCGCTTAATATGGCCCAAAGGAAAATTTTTTTTTGCACAAATCCATGATGATACACAGCATGCAATTACAGCAACTGCAGCAGACCTGCACTTATCACTACATGGCATTGGACAGAAGGGTGAGAGCCCAGCTGTTGCTGGATTGATAACAACAACAACAACAACACAGCGTGCAAACAGGTTGTGCAGTTCTCCAGAAAACTTTTTAAAAAACAAACAAACAAATCTGAAGAAACACTTCTCTAGTTACGTACCTCTGTCTCCACCAAGTCTTCTATAGAAATCTTTTCTTCCTTGTCTTCCTTCTTCTGATCCTTCTTCAGAACAAACCCTGAATTTTTTTTTAAAAGGGGGAAAAAGTTTCAATTTCTATTATTCATAAATTCTCATGGTTATTTCTGGTACGATCTTCGTCTCATCCCTCCCTGTTGCCACAAATTGAAACATCTGCCCTCACACCAGCATTTTACTCTTTGAAGCAAGGCCAAGCATAAAAACATATCCTTTCCAAAATGTCCACAAACATTTCTTTAACCCTAATGATAGCTGCAATCAATTTATAACTTTTTTGTCATAATGTAAATTTCCTCAAACACTTATGAATGTGGAAATCACAAATCAGATCAGAAATATCAATTTATGACTTTCTGGTCACAATGAACCTAAACTTTAACAAAGTCAATTGTTGGTAAACAATAGAGGCAACAGACAATTTCATACTAATAATTTTTAAAGTTACTTCACAACTAAAAAAATTCCATTTTCTCTTAATCAACTATGACCTCAGTGGGAGTGATCAAGCCAGCAGCTTGTGTGATATGGTTGTTTTGTAACCCAAACATCTCATGTATAGATACACAAGTAGACATAGGTTGTCACAAAATTGTTAAGACAAGAGACTGAGAGAGTGACAGTGTCTGCAAGAGCCAACTCACCAGGAGGAAGTGCGTGCCTGTAAATACATTTAGGCCCGTTTGGACACTCCCAGAACCAGCCGTATTTGCTGTTCTCCACCGCATCAAGGAAAAATTTGCAAATCTGAGAGAGAAAAAAAAAGTCATAATCAGCGCTTGCTTCGAGCACTACATGTGAGGACCAAACATGCCCTTCCAATCAGCGATTACATTAATTACAAAAACAGAAATCTCACATTCAAGTATTTCTTTTTTGCCAAAAAATTTTTTTTACCTGTAACAAGACAACTCAACATTTTTTTAGTAGGAACCTGCAACACAATAAGTTGAATAAGGTCATATAAGTGCCGAAGATTAGAGGTGTTACAAGACAGTAACAAACCCAAAAAAGAAGGAGGAGAGATAAGGACAATAGATGTTTGATAGGAAAGAAGAAGCAAACCACACCAGAGCACCTGCCAACCCAACAGTAACACCACAATTAATCATATAGGGAGTAAGAACAACAACCTTTTCAAAAGAGCCCTAGCCATTAAGCTGAACTCATAATGAGAATTTCTATTTCAAAAAGATCACAAACGAAACAAATGATAACGCCAAGCCTCTGCAATCTGAAAATACGGTATAATCATTTGATTCGCAAAGCTGAAGCTTTAGTTTAGTTTAGTTTTAGTAGAGATTTTACGGCGCTCGCAACTGCATAAGGTCATATGAGCGCCAGAAGATTAGAGGTGTTACAAGAGAGTAACAAACATAAAAAAGAAGGAGGGGAGATAAGGTCGATAGATGCTTGATAGGAAAGAAGGAGCAAACCACACCAGAGCACCCGCCAACCACCCACCAAGCTGAAGCTTCTTTCTCGAAGATTATACTGAAAATAGTCAAAGGAAATATGGCACAACGATTTACAAAGACAGCATGGAAAGAAGTTGCTCCAGACAAGCCTCCAAAGATTGTCCACCATCAAAACTTGTCCTAGTTTTCCTACCCCACACACCAAACAAAGCACTCACAATTCCTGTTTTAGGTTTGGTTTTCTCACTTTCCCCATGCTTTTTATTGATGACATCTTCCAAAGTGGCTTCATCCCAGTCTTCCATTGTACCTGCATCAGAAAAAACAAAAACACATATATATACAATTTCACATCCCATGCGCAAGTGTTTCAAAACACTGTAAACAAAACAGGAAATACACAACTTGTATTGGGGGCTCTCGTGGCCTTGAGATTAAGGTGTCCGCCTCTCATTCAAAGGTCCTGGGTTCGAATCTGGGTAGTGACGGAAAAATTTTCTGTTCTAAAATTGTCTCCTTTATCCTCCTTTCCTGCCCTCTAGCAATGTTCTGTTTTCTGCTTCCATCTCCACTTTCTACCCCCCACCCCCTCACCTCCTTTTCCCCCTCTGGGATCGCGAGTCTTTCTGCAGCTTTTCTAATGCTACTCCTTGACCCCTTCTTACTGCCGTCTTTCAGCCACACCCCTGATCTTCTGGTAGGAAAGAACCTAGCCTTCTCGGACAAGGGTGATAAATTTCAGAGGTTTCGTGTGCAAGTTGCGCACGTTAAAGATCCCTTGGCGGTCTAAAATTGATAAGACTAAGAGTAGGCTTTGGCCGCCACCCATGCAAAAATTCAAAAATTTTCTACCGACTCAAATTGTTTAGTGCGTCCTGCGTGCTCATACGACCATAAGCAGTTGCAAGCGCCGTAAAACACTAACCAAAAAAAACAAACAAAAGTTTTATTGACTCACACAAGAGCCACATGGACAACAGAGGTGAAGCTAGGACATTTTTGTTTCCAAGTGCCTCCAAAGCATTCAAAGAAGAACCTACACCTGAAAGTATTTTTTAACCCACTTAGAGTGCTGATTGCGACCACTTCCGCAAAGTGCTCATCGCGACCGGCCTGGTCGAGATAGACATTGGCATAGTATAACGCGATATACGAAAAGAAAGAAGTACTAATTTTTATACTGCTGGCTAGTAGGCTACACAGAATTGATTTCGCCCGCCATTTTTCTTGTCACGAAATTTCGATCGAGGCGCGAGGAGTTTTTTGTTTCACTTTGAAGTCGAGTGACAGTGAAGTTGGAAATTTCGCTATTGCGACCCGCGACAAACATGAAAATAGTGTCGCATCAGATTCAGATGAAGATGTTCCGCGTGTTTTCCTTGAATCGGAAGATGATTTCGAGGGTTTTGATGCTAGAGCTAACACTTTGTGGAATATAACGTAGACCTACGAAGCGTCTAGACTCTGGTCTAGATCTAGAGATCTAATGAACCAGCAGTTTTTATTCAGTCATTCCCAACACCACTACTACAACAACTTCACAAAATACTTTTTGCTTCACATATTCATAAATATTCTAAAACTTTTATTCTTACTTTCATAAGAAATTTGTACAAATAAAAAAGTTATTGGCAAAAAAAAAGCGTATGTGCAAATCTGTCGTTTTTCCAAAATAAATTTAACCCAACTCTCAAAACAAGAAGCTTACATTTCTTTTTACACGACACAAGGTTCATACTTGACCTAACTTTCTGAAATCTTCACAGACTTCTAACGGATGTATTTTCACTAATACATTTTTCATCTTCCCAGGCGACTCTACTTGAAAAATGCTCATCGACATTTCATCCATTTACTTGAGCTCTTACTTTTTTTATCTTCATAGATATTTCTCTTCTCGCCCTTCCTCTCAATGGTAAGGTCGTGGGAAAATTTGCACTTGTCTCCCTTAGTACACTGGCCCTGCTTGAAGAATGCACACAGAACAGACTTGGGGTCCACACCTGGAAAGAGTAGACAAACAGGAAAATGAATTAATTAACAACATCTGAGAGGGTAGAGGAGTATTTCCATCACCCAAAAAAGTCACTATGTAGCAATGACAATGAAAAATTAAATTTTCATCCGAATTGCTTAAAAATGGGCTTAAATGAAACTAGAGTAAATTCTAAGAACTGTGGTTTTTAAATTTTAAAAATCCATTGATAAATAAAAAAGTTATTGGGATTTTTGTTTGCAAAATGTTGGAGGACCTTCATATAGGAAAAAATCGCCAAAATGTGGGACATGTTTTGATGTATTTTGAGGAAAAACTGTTCATAAGTCAGTAATGAATTGGAGCATATGAATGAAACTTGGCATCTCCATGTGATTTTTAGTGCCAAATCTAGTTCTGCTATCACTTTTTCGTTGTCTTTATTACTTTGGATCTTAAACACTGATATTTGCGTGAAATTTGTTGAATTGCGTGACATCGTTTTTACCGCGACGCGATCACCGCTTCTAAAACTCAGTAAAGCGCTATCGGGAAAACCCGCGATGTAGTCATCGGTGACCCATTTGGTTATAGGCAGCCAATCACATGCCGCCTAGCGATCACGCGCCTCTTGCATGCCGGCACCTCGCGTTTTGAATGCGCGATTAAGTTTCTAGATCTAGTGTTTTATCAATGGGTGGGTGGTAATTTTAAGTTGGTACGGAAAATCTACTAAACGCAGAGATCTGAAATTTTACAGCAATAAAGAAGACATGTGGGGCGCTTGTGTGGTCGGCGATCAACCCGCTGCTCCGCTTAGTTTTCGAACCGCAGAGGAAATTCTCACAAACACGGCAATATCTCCGGTTCTAGTAATCGTTCGGGATTGTACGCTGGCATGTCGTTAGTTTAACCTTTCCTCTGGTTGGTTGCCGAGTTTCATTGATTTTCGTCCAGGAGTTTTCCCGTAACTAAACTTAGAAGAGAGTCACTTCTGATTCCGAGCGGCCCAAAAAATACCCCTCGCGCGGAGGCCGATTTCCGGCACAAGGCGCAGCGGGCGATTGGCATTGCTACACTATGTATCACAACAATAATTGACAAATGTAAAAATAAAAAGGTTATGGTAAATACTTTTACCTCAGTCGCCCTGTAGCCTTTAACACTATGCCATCACAAGGCTCATAAAGTTAAAACCCTTTCCATCAAAGGCAAAGGCAGTTTAGGGAAAATCCAAAGAAACTGGATGGTAAATATCGCCGATCGGCGAGATGTGACGGCAAAGTGTTAAGCTTACAGAGTCAGCGCCATTGGCCAAATTTCCTGAGGGGGCTCTCGTGGCCTAGAGGTTAAGGTGTTGGCCTCTCATTCAAAAGGTCCCGGGTTCGAATCCGGGTAGCGACCAAAAAATTTTCTTCTCTAAAATTGTCTCCTTTCACCTCCTTTCCTGCTCTCTAGCAATGTTCTGTTGTCTGCTTTCATTTCCACTTTCTGCCCCCCACCCCCTCACCTCCTTTGCCCCCTCCTCTGGGCTCCTGACTCTTTCTGCAGCCTTTCTACTGTTACTCCTTGGCTCCTCCTTACTGCTGTCTTTCTGCCACACCCCTGATATTCTGGTAGGAAAGATCTACACCTAGCCTTCTCGGACAAGGGCGAAAAATCTCGGAGGGCCCGTGTGCAAGTTGCGCATGTTAAAGATCCCTTGGTGATCTAAAATCGATAAGAGTAGGCTTCGGCCGCCACCCGGGCAAAATTCAAAATTTCCTACCAACTGAAAATATTAGGTGTGTCCCGCGCGCTCATATGACCTTATGCAGTTGCGAGCGCCGTAAAACACTTTACAAAAACAAAAAAAAACCCAACAAATATTTCCCGAGATACAGATTAAACCAAAAATAAAATGGAAAAAATTGAAAACCAACAGACCACACTTGAAGTTCCACCAACTACTTATTTCCTTTGTGGAGGACAATATTCAGCAACACCCAACCACCTCTCAAATCCTAAAAGAGCCTCAGACATGCTATACTGCCACAAAGGGAGATATGTTCTCAATTCCAGAGTCAATGTACATTTACTCATGTAACAAAATAACACCCCACCTTCCAAATACCCATATTAATACTTGCCTTCCAAAAGTTGTTCAATGCATGAGCCTTTCTTCAGAACTAAAAAAAAACCCTCAAAACTCAAAAGAAAATCATTAATGAATATAAACAATAAGACCTCAAATGCCTTTTGCTGTTCTAACGAGAAATGCACTGGAATGAACAGGTGGACCATAAAAACCTTCTCCTATTCCAAAGACACACCTTTCTGGACAGTCTGAGCTACTGGTCTGAACAGAGAGTTGATTTCTTCCTGCAGCTTTTTCTTCTCATCCTTCTTTAGGGCCTTGTCCTGTTCTTGGGATGCCTGTAGCTGGTGATGAGAAAACAAGTTAGTGGAGGCAGCTTCCAATATTTAAAAAAATTGTTTTTGTCTAAACCACTCTCCAGGCACTCATTTTAAATTTCAATATTAGCAAGGCTGATCAGCTATTAGTTTTTATACATTACAAACTACAACACTTACTTCTAAAAGCAAATACATGCAGTAGCGCAACGATTGAAAGCAACAATTTCTATATTCAATGTCCATAAGGATGAGACAGGGGACAAAATTTTGAGAGACATCTCCACAGACATTTCTCGTGTTCTGCATCCTACAGGGGGGAAAGCAAAGAAAAACAAAGACAGGGCAATGGGGAAGAAAGGCCATGTCAATGTTATAGGTCAACTACATTAGCACTAGAGTAGCAGAAACACCTCTATGGCTCATATAATCACACAGGGTAAGAGAAACAGGCACTCCCAACAGACTATACAGGAGCAGCAGGTGTGTAGTCCAACAATGGACCAACTTGTAGGAAGGGAGGAGACATCAGAAAAAACAAGAAAAAGAGCAGGAAAAGGGAGAGAGTAAGCTAAGCTTGAGGAAATAGATCAATAAACAGAACACAACAAAATAGAGCACAATGACATGAGGTAACTTACACGGCTAGATTTAACATTTCCATGTTGCACTTGGGTGGTAACGTTCTTGATGAACTTCTGCTGCTTTGCACCTTTTTTGTTTTTCAAGCCAAATGTTTTGTCCTGAAACGATAAAATGGAGAAAAATGAAAGTAATTAAACACTATTTTCTTTGGTATTGAGTCGATTGAGGCAACCCATAGAAACACACCAGAAATATTTACTGGTCTGGTGAAGAAATATCATACATTTTTAAAAAATCAATTCTGATGGGGAATTGTACGAGGAATCTATTTCCGATTTTCGTTTTGCATGAAAATGTACATAAAAAAAGCCAAGCTTTAGATACAACTGTTACGAATGTATAAATAACCCCCTCTCATAAGTTGATAATCCATAACGAGTGGTTACCCCCATTCAAATAACCCTTATAGACGCTGTTGCTGTTACAAACTAGTGTTCGAAAGAAAAAAACATTATGTGTCAATTTCCTAATGAAGGCTAATGATTTGAAAAAAAAAAAAAGTACAGAAGGGAAAAGGGTTCGAGGTTAAGTGAGGGAAGGACTTCTGTAACGAGCAACTACACCAACGAACACAATAAAGAAGAGAATTTGACTTGTAACATACTTTTTAAGAAAATTGTTTATTAACAGCCCTACCCCCTTAAATTGTCATTACTGTGGGTACATTAAAGTGTAGAAGCTGTAAAATCTTTGAAATTGCTCTAATTGACAATCTATTTGTAGGAATTTATATCTTTTATATCTTTACAAAATTTGAAGGAGATTGGTGTACAATTAATTAAGCAATAAACTTCTCAATTGGTGAATTTTCGTCATTTTGTGACCATTATTTGCATATGTCGGCTGAGGACTAAAAAATGTGAGTTTTGAATCTATTTTTTCCATCTCTATACCACAAAATATGTAATTTCAATGTTAAGCCAAGTATGAACGGTCCTCATTTCAAGATAGAAATATCAGCACCATATTTCCTTAACTATTGTCCTGCGTCTTGTGCCGCGATGCGAACCTTATCAGCAACCTATCACGTCAGACGTTCCAGGAGGGGAACCCGGGTCACTCAGCGTGTACTGTTGGGTGTACAGCCAGCGGCACTGGAAACGCCGTGTGTGTTTTCAACGTGAATACCGCAGGAGTATGTTAATTGATGATGAAAATAATGCTTTATCTTTTATAGCTTTCTATTTATAAAGTGTTACCAACACATAAATAACTCCCTCTCGTAAGCTGATAGGAGATTACGAGTAGTTACACCCATTCGAATAACATTTTTAGACGCTTTTGTTGTTACGAATGATCTGGGGTTCAAAAGGGGATAATATAGATCAATTTCCAACTAATGTTTTGCTTTCAAATCATTCTTTTTACCTGTATAAAGGAATTCAAAACTATCAAATAAGCTTATTTTTATACGGTTATATAATTTCATACAAAATCAAGTTCATTTGAAAGATTTTGTGTAGAAAAATGGAAGTCTTGTTTGCGGACTATCCTTTCGAGCTCCTCATGTCTAAGTGGGTCAATTTGTTCTAATTTCATTGGACGAACTACAGCTACCAACTTTGCGTGTTTTGAATCAGTCATATGTCTCAGTTACAAACCAACGCAGGCGGTTCTAGAAGTAGGCCAGAAACTCAAACAGACTGACACACACACACCTGAGCTGCGGGAATACGGAACCCGGCCATCACGGGGATGATGCTCTGCGCGCACGCGCTGAGCCAGGGTGGGACTGATACGGGACCGGAACGAAGGCAGGGTGCCAAAATAGGCTTTCTCGAAATCATGGTCTTAGTACCCCAAAACAAATAAAAATATCAGATAAAACTTTGTAATTCTCAGGCGGCAAATTGTTTCCATTTTTTAGACTAACTTCAGTCCAGACTAGATTAGAAAGTTTAGTTTAAGAAAGTTATACAAAATGCAGTGCTTCCAACAGCTGAAGTTGAAAAGTAAGGAAAATTCAGCCGGGGTTCTGGGGGCTACATTGTAAAGAATACTGAATTTAGCTTAAGATTATTATTGTTGTATATGTCTAACTGTTCATTTATATTAAATGCATGTGGCTGTAAGCATCACATCACTCATCACTCAAATGCATGTAGTTGCTTCACCCTCACTGCTACTAATTACCTAAAACCTCAAACGTTTTGCAGCCTTCTCCATCTCTTTACCTCTCTTTTTTCTCATTTCATCCTTCTTTCCTCAGTCTTTCTCTGCTTTTCTTCTCCACCTTCTCTTCTTCTCTTCATTGGCTGCTTTTCTCCCTTCTTCCTCTCCTCACTCAGTTCTGCTTCTTCCATTTCTTTAAAATTGTCATTGTTTCTTCACTGGTTAAAGCCATATTTGGCACCTTTCGTAAAACTCGTCCTTTCCACACCAGCACACAAGGCGTTTGTGAAATCTGGAAAACATCTATTATATTAAGAGATTAGACAGAAATGGCAGCAGACACAGGGTCGACAGTTTGGCTCAGCTGAAGAGGTCAAAGAATGTATGTCCTTACAAGAGGTGGAAGGTTGAGGTGAAGAAAAAGAAGAGGAAGGAGGGCACTCAGCTGAGATGAAGAAGAAAATGGCATTATAAAAGTTAATTCTAAAAAATTTCCCAGCCCACATTCACTCCTCTGGCTCACTGGAGGACGTCGCAGTCTAACGAGGAGCACACGTCACATCAGACCACCATTTGATCCTTGGAAAGATGAAACTGAAACTGAGAAGAGTATGCACAAGTCACAACTGGAAGTCGTCAAAAGTACGAAGTGAGCCGTCTGAAAGACCCAGTGAAGAAGAATGAGTTCCAAGTTGAAACTGAAGCACAGATTTCAAGCGCTTCAAGGTCTGGATGAATGTGAAGTAAACGAACATTGGGACAAGATAAAAGAGGCAGTAAATGCAACTTGCCAGAGCACCCTAGAACCCAAAGACAATAAATGAATGGACTTCACAGGACTCTCTAGACAAAGTCAAAAGAAGAAGAGAGCTGAAAGCCAAAGTCGACAACAGCCGTACCCGAACTGAGAAACTCGCTGCCCAACAAGAGTACACCGAAGTAAACCGGGAGGTAAAGAATTCCATCAAGAAGGACAAGAATACCTACCTCAATGGCCTGGCTGAAAAGGCAGAGAAAGCAGCAACAGACTGACACTTGCGGATTGTACACCAGACAACAAAAACTCTTTCAGGTAGGTTCAGCAAGCCCACTCTACCAGTGAAAGACAAAGAGGGAAAGACTATCTTCAACCCAAAGGGCCAACTTAACCGATGGAGAGAACACTTTAATCAACTCTTGAACAGACCACCTTCAGAAAACCAACCAGAAATTCTTCCAGCCAGAAACGACCTCACAATAGTTATGGAACCACCTTCAAGAGAGGAAATTGCAGCAGCTATAACATCACTGAAGTCCCACAAGGAAGCTGGTCCTGACCATATACTACCGGAAGCCCTTAAGGCTAATAAAGATACCTTAGTGGAAATTCTCTATGCTCTATTTGAAAAGGTTTGGCAAAAGGAGGAAATACCATCAGACTGGAAGGAAGGCCACCTAATCAAGCTGCCAAAGAAAGGAGACCTCAGCGATTGTAATAACTACAGAGGCATTACACTCCTGTCCATACCTGGGAAAGTCTTCAACGAGATACTCCTGGAGAGAATCAAGCTGGCAACAGATGAGAAGCTCTGAGGAAACCAGGCAGGATTCTGCAAAAAGCGATCATGTGTGGACCAGATCGCTACTCTGCGCATCATTGTTGAACAATCGCTTGAAAGGAATTCACCACTTCAATGATTATGAAAAGGCGTTTGACAGAGTGGACCCGAAAACTCTGTGGAAACTCATGCGGAATTCTAGAATATCTGACAAAATCGTCAAACTTGTGAAGGCCACCTATGATGGAACAAACTGCCAAGTCTTCCACGAAGGACAACTCTCAGAACCATTTCAGGTACAGACATGAGTGCGACAAGGTTGCTTGCTCTCACCTTTTCTCTTCATACTGGCAATAGACTGGGTCATGAAAGAAGCCACCAGAGGCAAGCGTAATGGAATACAGTGGATCCCTTGACAGCAGCTGGACGACTTGGGACTTTGCCGATGACCTTGTACTGCTCTTTCACACACATGCTCAGATTCAAGAAAAGACCAAGGAACTCAACAGCCCATAAAGGAGTGTTGGCCTACGAATACATCTAGGCAAGTCAAAAGTAGTGAAACTAGTAAAAGTTTCAAGCCCTGCTGTGACAATGGAAGACACCTCTGGAAAAAGTGGACTCGTTTACCTACCTTGGAAGTGTCATCGACAATAAAGTAGGTGGAACCGAGGCAGATGTTAAAGCAAGGACTGAAAGGCAAGGTCAGCATTCAATCAATTATCAAAAGTCTGGAAAGCAAGCAACACCTCACTGCGCATTAAGATTCAACTCTTTAACTCCAACGTCAAGTCTGTGCTCCTCTACAGCAGCAAAACTTGGAAGACAACAAAGACAGTACTGAATAAAGTCCAGACTTTCTTCAACAGATGTAAGAGGAGTATTCTAAGAATTAAGTGGCAGGATAGAATAAGAAATGAAGAGCTGTGGGAAAGGACAGGGACAAAAGGATAGAAGAGAAGTAGAAATAGGACAAAGAAAGTAGCGATGGATCGGACACACCTTAAGAAAGCCCAGCCGAAACATCAAAAGACAGTCACAGTGCGGAACCAGCAGGGAACACGAGGCAGGGGTAGGCCACGGGAAACATGGAGGAGACACGTGTGGAAAGGGACTTGAGAGAGATAAAGCTCACTTGGAACGATGGCCCAGGACAGAGATAAATGGAAGGAGTTTGTATATGTGGCCTACAGAGGTACCCTGCCAGGGGTGAAAGGCATTGATGATGATTCACTCATCGAAGTCTCACCCCAATCACCCTCAAAACCACTCATTCAAATTATGAAATCCATTTTACACCCTTCTGTCAAATAAAAAGAAACTTCAAGCAACTCCATAAGCTTGAAAATATATTTTTAAAACACATCGAAGTGAATATTTCTCAAAACGTTCGGGAAAATAAACTTGAACTCTTTCTCCGAACGGTTTCCGTTCTCGAGGTTTTTTTTTCATTTGCGAGATTTAAGTGTCATCTTTCATTCTGCGATGACAGGGAAGAACCATTTTATGCATCAAATTCAATTTCTAGAGCTAGAGATTTTTAAATGTCTGAATATTCAGATATTTCAGCTGTGGTTCGGGCAACGTTCCCGGACTATACTTTGTTTGAAAATACCTTCAAAAGGTACTGCGAGAAAACAAGACTGATCGACCTTGGCAGTAACCTATTTTGCATTTAGTCATCCAGCCCCCCAAAAAAGTCCTTCAAGTTAAAAAAAAAAATCCCCCCCCCCCCCCGTTCACAGGTTAGGCCTAAACACACGCACACACTCACATGGGCCACCCCACTCATAATTATTATAGACAAATCTCGAGAATGGAAACCGTTCTGAAAAATAGAGTTCTAGTTTATTTTCCCGAATGTTCGGAGAAATAGAGCTGGCCAAAAATATTGTGCACGTGGCCGATATGCGCGAACTGCATCCACAAAGCTCGGCCAACCCTGGCCGAACAGCCTGGACATGCAATATTTTTTGTCCTGTTGACTCGGCCCTCCCACCACATCACTCCAGATGCAAGAAGGGCTTCCCCTTAACTTGTTCCCAGAATAGACAAAAGGCACAAAAACTCCTCTCCCTTCGGTCACAGGTCATGTGACGTAGTAAGAGGCCTATAGCATCTGCGCATGTCTATGACCTTAGGAGTATGCATAGTTCAAGTTAAGGAGACCATGAAAAATGATGGGACGTACTTTCGATTCAACTGGCTCTGTCGCAAAAATTCAATGAAAACAGGTGAAAGGGAAACAAAACACTAAATTGTTAGCATTTACCCAGCAAAGATTACATTGATTTATAAATTAACAAGATTATATCCATTCAAAATTGGCTTCAAAACGAGTTGGAACAACACTGTTTGAGTTGGAACAACACTGTTTAGGCGGTTGGCCGACTTGTCCGGACAGCCGAGACAGTACTAGACCTAGATATCTAGAAGGAAGTGGCTATCCTCACCCGGGGTGAGAATAAAAATACGATCGACCTCTCACCCCGGGTGAGACTTGCCACCGTAGGCTATTCTCACCCGGTGTGAAACAAGACCTGCTTTTCCTAATTTCTGAATATTTTCTATCTGTGTGTATGATCGAATGGATAAAAGCAAAGAAAAAATTTGCCCGGAAGTTCTCGCAAGATCTACTCCTCCCCTCTTCTCTTTCTGAATACTGTCTATCGGTGTGGACGATCAAATTGACCAAAACAAAGTTTAAAAATGATGTTAAAACACAAAAGTAAATTAATTTGGTCGTCTACAAAGATGCTACGGCTCAGGCAAAGAGCAGGGATGCAACCTAACTGCAAAACATCAAATTAGGATAAAATTCAGTCGGGCATGCCCCCCTGAACCCCCCCACCTCCATATTTTTATTCGGTCAGGGGGACAAGCCCCCCTGAAACCCCCCCACTCCTGACTTTAACGAACGAAACTACAAAATCGCACTAGAGTGTAGTAGTGTAGTGTAGATCTAGACATCTAGAACTGTGTCATCTGTGTGTCCGTCAGTGTTGGCACTCTAGTCTATCACACACACAAAATGAATAAAATTTTAGGGTGCTAGATTCTAGATCTAGAAATCTACAGGTAAGATTGAAGAATACCGGACCAGCGGACTGGGACTACTTTTGCCTATGTCTCAACCGCTGGTATTTTAGGAGTTCAGCACAGTTAAAAGAGCGGTTAATGGCTTTTTAAAAATCGTAATGCTATTTTTATAATGTATGGAAGGGAAATTGAGATGAAAAACAATTACAAAATCATTTTTAATGGAATTTAGCAGGAACTAATTTGTGTAGTACAGCATCCTTCTCTCAACCGTACCGTGGTCCGGGATACTTCATTTAGACAACAATGTAGGCCTACCTAGTCCGGGAAACTTCACCTAAGGCCCTAAGGCTAAACCAAGAGCCTGCATTCACGGCGAAGCATTCCGGACCACAGCGAAGCATGCCAGACCACGGATCATGTGCCTGCACGGCGGGGCCTAAAGAACACAGCGTGTGGAACATCGCGAGACCGAGCGCGCGAGCCACCGCCTCTCCCTTCCCCGCGCGGTCCGGCATTCTTCGAAGAGCATTGTGAGATAACATCGATTTTTATAACTCTCAATGAAAAATCCCCAACCGTTGTCAGGGGGGAAACCCCCCTGAACCCCCCAAACAACTTCCCTCTTCTTACAACCGGAATGATGAATTTCGGACCGGCAGGCCTATATATCTGTTCATAAAGTAGTTTGTCAGGGGTGACCCCCCCTCCCCACCCCTCCAAGATTTGAATTGTCAGGAGGGAGACCCCCCTTGAACCCCACCCTTCCAAGATGTGTGTGAATGAAGAATGTCGGACCATCCAATGCTAGCCTTCCTCCTCTCATGAATTGAAGCGCATGCGGCAGAGCGGTGTTGTTATGGAAGTAATCTGGCTCACGCAAGGCGCAATAATACAAGTCGTAACAAGTGGTCCGGTATTGTTCAATCTTCCCAATCTACATTAGATCTTAGATCTACTAGAATCTACATCTACCCTACTGCCTACTGCTACTGTGGCATAAGAGCTACACTAGATTTTCTACACTCTACACACTTGGTGGTAGGCATTCGATCTACTTAGGAGGTCTTGACTTAGTTTAGTTTAGTAGTCGACTTGGTGCAAGTTTTGCCCCCTTTTTTGTTGTTAAAGAACCTGTGGTCACAATACCTCAATGGTTTTCTCTTTCTTCTTCTGTTCAGTCTTTTTACTGGGCTCATTCGATTTCTTTTTAGGAGGCATCACGTAGAGTAAGATTTATTCAGCTGTGTGACAAGGTAATTATTTCACCACAATCTGGATTTGGCACACACACCGGAAGTAGTGAGAACTCAGTCCTCCTGTCCTGCAAGCACCCGAAGCCAGGTAGATCTAGCGAAGTGAGTTAAAAGAGCAGCTAGATCTACAAATGAAGACAAATAATAATAATAGTAATAATAATAATAATAATAATAATAATAATAATAATCATAATCATAATCATAATCATAATCATAGTCATAACCATAATCATAATAATCATAATAGTAATAATAATGATATTGATGATAATAATAATAATATATAGTAATAATAATAATACAAATACTACTACTACTAATATTAATGAAAAAATGATAACTATAGTAATAATGATCATGAATGATAACGATAACGAATAACAACAACAACAATTTAACAACAACAACAATAATAATAGACGTAGTAGTAGTAATAAATAATAATAATAATAATAATAATAATAATAATAATAATAATAATAATAATAATAATAATAATAATAATAATATAATAATAATAAAAATATTAATAATAATAATAATAATAATATGATCATATGATGATGATGATGATAAAATGGTAAGGATGATGATAATGATCTGCTAACATTAATAAAATTGTATAAATGGTAGGCCTAATAATTATTGTGGTGATTAAAATGAACATGACAACGATAACAATAATTAAGAACTGTCTGCCCATGTACTCATGGATGTACTCATGGAAGGTAAATGAAGAATATATATAATTTGTGGTAGTTTTAAAGGGCACTCAGCTAAGATCGTCTTGTACTGTCTTTGGCTCTTGTCAACCTCCAATTAATTTTATCATTTTACTCCAACGATCTGAGACTAAGACAGTTTAAACATAAGTGGGAATTGAAGAATTTCCCATAAAGATAGACCGTTACGTGTATAATGTAAAGGCCCTATTTAGTGCTTACTGGAGTAGTGAAAACAAAGCACACTGTCCGAAATTATTTTTGTTTTCCTTTTTAGAGTCTACTGTGCTAGTGCTCAAGGTTAAAAACATTGATACTTCTAACAGCTTAGACCTATACAGGAGCTGTGTTTGTCCAAGAGGGATATATTTTAATAACAAAACGTTAAGCGAAAGGTCGAGTACATTTTTGTACGTGTGTATAGTATAGTACGTAGAGAATCTTTGGTTGTTAAACCCTATTTTATCGGAAAGTTGGAGTACAAATGGGTTAAATGTTCTCGTCACTTTTCTTATCCATACTTTAGTGCTACTTTTGACTTTTGTTGCACTCATGTCGGATTTTCAAAAATATACATAACGTAATTTATAAAAATTAACAAAACAGAACAAACTGACAACCCCCCCCCCCCCCCCCCCCCCCAAAAAAAAAAGCAAAGCCATGTTTTTGTTCGTTAAATAAAGGTTAAATTATCGTTTTTTGCTTGCCTTGTACATTTGCCAAGTTGGTTTAGTTGGGTAAAGCTCCGTGCATCCTTCTGGGACGCGGCTACATATTCAATTAGAATTAGCCCTATGCTCGTCATCGAAAATACAAATAAAACGATTTTTTAAAATGAAGTTAACTTTGCTAGCGATCGCAAGGCGTGCAATAAGGGGTTGGAAATGTAAGGAAGTAAAACCTGTACAATTCTATAACTTGATTGAGTAGTGAAACATAATCATTACAAATAGGCCTATGTCGCGGCTATCTAAAGCGGCTATCATATTAGGGTCGTTGCTCTGAATTTGTGAATCAAAATCATTTCTCTTACCAAGAAATTGAGTATTCAAGATATGACACTGTTGGGACGTTATATGTTTTGTACAAATACATATATTTGTATTTGTGTTTCAGGTTGTGTAAAATTGGCGTTGTGTTGGAACATTAGGCTACCCAAAACTTAAGATGAGGAAATCAAGTTTGTGTTTTTTCATTAACTTGTATTATGTGTGTAGTTATTTAAATATTTGTATATATATATATATATATATATATATATATATATATATATATATATATATATATATATATATAATTTATTTTTTATTATTTATTTTTTTTATTCTGCCTATTTTTTAAATGTGCTTCGTTACAAAATGTCCCTAGTTATTGGCTAGTTTAATAGAATTTTAAGATAATAATTTAATGTATCAGCACCATGGATGATCAGCGCAAAACAATGACGTGCAAGTGGTTAGAGGGACTGTGCCACTAGGTCCTGGTCTAGGCTTAAGGCCTATAGGTCCTGGTTCTTCACACTTTCCCTCTGTTGCTTCTGTCTAACTTTTCCCCCAGCACTTATAACTGACCATTATTGTGTCGATGTGCTTCTCTTTACTCGATCAAACAACCAAATACAAATAATGTGACTCCTTACAAAATGTTTGGTACATTAAGTAACTGAACTTTTTTTTCCTGTCTACCTTTTAGAAAGTGTTCAGATCTGCTGCGGTAATTGAAACTGTAGAGAGGCTGAGGGGCTCACTATTAAAGCGCCATATGCCATACTGATCAAACTACACTAGAGGATCTAGATCTATAAAGCAGGTCGACCACCAGCTGATCATAATCCCCGTAATTCTTCCTAGATTATTTTCTCCTCAGTGGCATCGCGTGGGTTGCAGACAAGGTGGTGCATAATTGGAAAGTGATTCAATGGGCAATAGGCTTAGTAGCTGCTATTAAGATTTCTAGAGAAAGTCAATTTGGATCTGCAGGACATCCCGTAATCTACATCTATCGATATTTACAACTGTTTCTATATGAAACCGCATAAAAGTTGCAATAAAGTGAAACTATACTAACTACTCACTATGCTCACAACCTGAGAAGATTTAAAGATTTCTAATTACTTCGTGCAGCACCAGGACTTGCTACAAAATAGAGGGAGACAAAATTTTTGATACCCATTCTTCATTGAGTTACCGTAGATTCTACTAGTGTAGTAGATGGGCTAGTGGAAACGTGGATCAAATTCTTAGCTTGCACCAAACTGATGCTGCGAAGAGCAGTTTCATGCACCTTTCTTCTTGTGCGGGAAGAACGATCCCTTGATTTATCTATCTACAGTGACAAAATTACTTTGGTGCCACAGAATTCTACACTTGTAGAATTCTGTGTTTGGTGCAAAGATTTTGCTTGCTCCCAGCAGACACTACCGCAAGCGGTGCGACGAGCATAAACGTCCTCGCTGCCTGTCTCTTCACTGGCGCAGCCAGCGGGTGGCGGATCGCAAGGATGTAGTAATGTAGATCTAGAGCACTGACTGGCTTAGAACAATTATGAAGGAGGGGGGGGGGGGTGAAGGTTAGGTGGAGCGCTTGCACCAATTGCACCCCACCACTGTTTCTCCTACTCCCCGATCATTACTCTGTACCTTAATTTTTACCTCATAAGCAGATCCGAGTAGATTAAGAGATACTAGCGGAACTCAATTTAGTTGGGGTTTTTTTGTTTTGCTGATAATGGTGGATTTTTTTTTAAAACAGAGAATAATCTTTAGAAATAAATAATTGTTGTAAACCATGGAATTCTGTCCATTTTTTGTTTAGGGCATGGATCTGGATGTGCTACTGCAAACGCAAGAAACCGTCTTTTTTTCTCAGGTCTGGATATGATGATGTGTGACCTGAGCACATAATTCTATACTAAGTGTAGAATTCTGTGGACCTGAGCAATATAATTATCGCTTGCCTAGGCTTGGGATCAGGCCAGGCCAAGGTAAGTAATCTCCTTGGGTCAGGCGCAGGTGAACAGACGTCCGACCGTTTGGCCAATAGTTCTACTGACCCGATGTGTTAAATCATAATTTCATTTCATTCTTGTTCCAAGATTACGTGTTTTTGTTATCCTGACTTTGTGACTGACTTTCAGTTATCCAAATGCATGCTTAAAGTTAAAGTGCAGACATTCTCTTTTGGACTACTAATATACAGGAATACAGGCCTATGACAGACGTCGACTCATCGAGTCATTATTGTGGCGAAATAAGTAGTTAACGAAGGTCAAATTCTGCGAGCCTTCTCGGCGTCTTTCTTCACTGCTGAATTTACAAAATGGCGACTACCAGCGGCTGGTCCCGGTGTCGGGCAGTTTCTGTTTACTTCAAGGTTTTCCTTTGCTTCCTGGTGTCGACTAGTGTTTCTTCTAAACAGAAGGACAGCTTTACGGAGGAACTTTTAATCAAGCCGCTCTCCCGAGGCTATATTTATTCTCATTTTCAGTTTACCACAAAATGGAACGCATCTCTCCACGATCCAACAACTTGTGAGTAGAGTCAGTAGAGAGATCGGCGCTTTTTCGGTAGTTCCCACCCCCCTTATTTGATAGAGCCTGACCTACATCTAGATCTATATACGTTTGATTCGCGGCAAGCTAAGATGTCAAACCTAACAACTGCAAAACATTAAATTGTGGTAAAATTGTGAAACCCCCCACCTTGTTTTTATTAGGTCAGGGGGGCAAGCCCCCCTGAAACCCCCCTACTCTTGAGGCCAAAACCGGCGAATAACAAATGCGGGGTGGGAACTACCGAAAAAGCGCCGAGAGATCATCGTCTATTCTAGACGAAAGTGGCTATTCTCACCCGCCCGGAAGTTCTCGCAAGATCAACTCCTCCCCTCTTCTCTCACTCTCTGTCTCTTTCTGAATACTGTCTATCGGTGTGGACGATCAAATTGACCAAAACAAAGTTTTAAAATGATGTTAAAACACAAAAGTAAATTAATTTGGTTGTCTACAAAGATGCTACGGCTATTTAACTTTTCGAATCGAGCCGAACTACGCGGGTCGCCATTTTGTTTTGCCCGGAAATTCTCGCGCTACTCCTCTCTCTCTTTCTCTCTCTCTCTCCACTGCCCACAGAAAAAATTGTACGCTTTTAGTAGGCTACAGTTGTAATGGAACGTTTGTTCACGGCACAGAATTCTACAATTTTTCTGTTGTCACAGTGTAGAATTCTGTGGTTAAGGGTGAACGCAAAATTTGGTGAACGCGCACCGGGTGAGAATAGCCACAAGACTCGCCTGCACTATTCTCACTCCGGATGAGAATAGAGGTGGCCATTCTAGACAAGAAATCTATTCTAATCTAGTTTAGAAATCTAATCTAGATCTAGATATCTGGATTAGAAGACCTAGAATCTATAGATCTAGCAGTAGTTGTGATTCTATAAAAATACCATTATATTAACTCTTTTCCTGCGTCTGTGCTGAGATGCGATTATCAGCAACCGATTACGTCGGACGTTCCGGGGTCACTCTCACTCAGTGTGTACTGTTGGTGTACAGAGTGCGCGCCTGGAAACATGTTTTCTAGATCATCTATTCATATCATAGATACTGCTCTAGAATCTAGATCTAGAAGGCTATTTGATTTTTTTTTTTTTTAAATTGAGGGGCTACGCCAACGGTAGCCTAATCAGTAGTTGGCCTACATGAGGAAACTTGAAGCGCCAAGCACTCGTGAGTTATTTCCCAACCACATGCGGTAAGCCACCTTGGGCCTAGGTGATTTTATCAGCCTGCGAGGGGTCAGGGGTGTGGGTGAGAATATCGGGTCATGAACTATTCTCACCAGAGGTGAGAGTATCCTGTGGCCTAAATTATAAAGCCTTCATTCCAGTTTTATTATTTTTTTATGGAGTAAGACTTACTTTTTAACACAACATGAATTTGAAATGTTGTATCATATATATGTCATTTGTGATTTTTGCCATTATCACGGAAGTCTCTTCTATAAAATGTGTGTATGTGATGTGGGCCAATGGCAACGGCCCTTAACTTTGAATAAACTTTTATTTATAGGACCAGGTATTGAATTGTAGTTTTCTGGTTCGCCTTTGTCCAATTTACTTGATTTTCGACTTTATATTTGTTGCAAAGTGTTATTAGTTTTAAAAATATTTGATGGTTTCTATTAAAACTCTATCATCAAGCCAAACTGTATATATACACAGTGGTCTGCCTGAGATCCCGGTGCTTGGGAGCAAGGAAACTGCGGAATCTTATGCAAATAGGATCTTATCCAATGCACCAAGGGGGGAATCCATGGTGGCTCATCATGCCCACAATCGGTGAAATAATAGTCTATCCTTGCTCTGAAATCAACTGAAATGTACCAGTGACGTTTCCCTTGGGTGGGTTTATGACTTATGGCGAGCAAAGAGCTGTCAACCTTGATGACCAATCACAAAGGCATAGGCATGCAATTTTCACTTATCCAATCATGAGTCTCAAGATTTACGCCGTTCCCATTTCTACTTCTCTTTACCTGTCCAAAATAGTTCGGTGTGATCCCTTTTGATGTGGACTTGTAGGCCTACCCATCCCCCTTGTGATGTAAGTTCAGGTGGAGAGCTCAGATCTATATGAGTGTAATGTGTGGGGAATTCAAATGTCTCAACGAGTTCTCACCTCAGTGTGATCCCATTTTGGCCAAACATTCCAAACATTATCGTTTCATCAAGATTTGTTACGGAGCTGTAGTCACATTCACGAGAGTGGATGATCTGTGGTGCAACCAACGGGCAGTACAACGATCACAATTTTTTCACTGCATGGCTGATCATAATCAACTGCACCTGCCCGAGTTTTTGTTCAGGAAATTATGATGTTAAATGCGGAATCTTCACCAAATATTATCCTTCAGATTGGGGTCTTAGTGTTGACTTTTGTGTACTAAAAATTATGTTTTCTTAAAACAGCAGGACCTTTTAAGCAAACCGGTATCTGTAAGTGATAGAATCTTAGGTGGAGACAGACCACTGCATTCCTCAATGTGTCATTCTGTAACTTTGAAGAAATCTGGGGGGTTTCAGCGGGTTCAAGTCACCCTCCTATATTTCCCAATAATTTGATATTTTTGCAATTAGGTTTGAAAATTTCTCGAAAATGATTTATTTGCGACGGTTTTAATGGCCATACCACCCACCCTTCTTGTGTAATCACATCCGGATCCATGCCTTCATGTTCAAACAACCACACATACACTATACACACATGCACACAAGTACAATTCACGTATCATATGGCCCAGTACAGCACCACACTGCCTTCCTTTGATCAAATCCCATCACCTAGCACCCACCCTCACATGACTAGATTTTAAGAGGAAGTTCTTATACCTTACACACACTACAGGTATTGAGCAATGATATGTCTTGACACATTCTGTATGTGTGTCACACTATGCAGGAGCGAGTCTGGTGAGCTCATGTAACCTGATAGTGTGAATGATGATGGGTGAGATTGTTTTCCCACCATGCACCCAGTGTGATTTGAATTCAACACAGTTTTGAGGAAATGGTCAGGCTTTTCGAGATGAGCTGTTCAACACACTGATGCAGGTGTTTAAGAAAACAGTGCTGACAATACCAAAAAAATATAGCGGCTCTGTTGAGGAATAACATATCGTTCAAGCTATCCATGAACTCAAAGTTCGCATTATCTTTGCTCGACTGTAGCTAATTTTACTTGAAACGCACAATGTCTGCTAATGTCACAGACATGATATGTAGACCAATACAGCATGAAAACTACTACGATATTTGTGTTATATCAGAAAAGTACATACGTTATAATAGGATATTTCTTTTACAACCTCTTTATTTTTATTTCAGTTCATCACTTTCATCTGTTTCCTAAAGCTTTGGGAGAAGTTTTATCTCGGTACAATGTGCAGGAGCTTCACTTGTCACAGACTCAAGGTCTTTGGCGACACAAGCAATGGGGTTATCCAGTCCATGATGCCCCACCAGGAGCTGAGTTATGGGTGTGGTTCAGACCAAGTGTGAAAGAGTAAGCAGTACAGAATATTAGTGTTGTATTTAATCAATGCCATATATTGATTACTGAAATATATGTGTATATAAAGTAAAAGTAAAGTTGTTCCCGCTTCCGATCCGGACATTGGGGATTGCCTTGTTAGTGAGACAACTTCCTGGGCCTTTGGCATATTGTGGTAGGGTGGCCAGTTCCTTTCCATGCCGCTTTTACTTCCCCAACTGGAAGTCAGGTACCCATTACTGCTGGGTGGGCAGGAGGGGGCGAAAAAAATCAGTGTCTGAACCGAGGCTCGAACCCGGACTTTCCGCTTCAGAGACAAGCGCACTAACCGCTCTGCCACCGCACCCTCATATATGTATATAGGTAAACTTTATTTAACTGTTTACTTACTTGACTTTGACCTGTGGCTCCCTACTTAACATAGTGTACCATTTACCAGTCTTATAAATCTGTGTCGGTTCTGGGCTGTCTTCCCTGCCTCCATCCAAATGGACACTTGTCTTCTCTGTGACCTTTCTCAATGTCTCTCTTTTCTTTCTTTTTGCAACGATCAGTGCTCAGTCTTCACTCAAGCTTACATGTTTTGGCTCAGGATGTTTGGAAGAAAAAGCTAAATAAACGCTCTTTTAATATTCTGACATAAATGCTATTAAACCGTACATTTTAGGATATTTTTCCCACTATTATATGCTTATGATTCCACAAACGATTTGTTATATTTCTGCTGTGTGCTTTAATTTTCTTCTCAGTGTGGACAAGGCCTGGACTGAACTGGTTAATGCTGTCTCGGGTCTGTTTTGTTCTTCTCTCAACTTCCTGGACTCACGGAGCACGATTGCCCCACGCTGGAGTTTTAGACCAGCAGGACTTGCCCCTCAGGGTTATTCTGTGTCCTCTCATTTTGTGCGCTATGGCACTCTGCCCAGAGAGATTGTCTGTACTGAGAACTTGACACCGTGGAAAAAATTGCTGCCTTGTGACTCCAAGGTACATTGCTTTTTGGGGATGACTTTCTTTGCTATGAAGTTTAAAGATATACCATTTCTGGATCATTATTGTATTATTTTCAACTGTCAGTAATTTACTTTAAATTTTATCGGTAAATAAGATTTATCAAGAATTTAATGATAAAAGAAATCTTGAAGAAATAGCACCACAAGGTAATATGAAAAGAACCATATTTAATTTTTGTCAGAGCTTACTGACTTTCTCAGATTTTTTTTAGACACACAGTGGTTGAAGAGTTAATATTTGAAGTTGAGAGAATTTGTATTTGTAGGAGTTTATTCAAAGTGTGATTCTTAACCATTCTTTTTCAGGCTGGTTTATCAACTTTGTTCAACGCCTTTCACTTCCATGATGCGAATTATCATTCTCTTGGTCTTCATGTGCGGCCAATTTGTGCTGTGAGTTTTTAGGAATGTACATACATTTTCATATCAGAATTAGTTTCAGGTCTTTTGTTTAGTTTAATATAGTAAGGTTTTACGGCGCTCGCAACTGCATACGGTCATATGAGTGCCGAGGGGTGGATGCCAACAGAGAAGTCGAAACGAGGAATCAGGCTTACTCTGCTCACCTCTCTAGCCTCAGCAGCACAAAGTCTGCTTCGACTATCAAGGCACCCTGGAAATAACAGTTCACAAGAGAGTGACAAACATACAAAAGAAGTAGAGGAAAAATGACGATAGTAAGAATGAGGAAAGAAAAAGCAACAGTTCCCCCTATGTTGTTCAGGCACAGTATGAGCATGACATTGATTAATCAACCCATTTACGATTCTGCTGTGCATAAGAAATGTTTATATCCCCCCTTTAGGAATGCCTAAAGACAACTTCAGTCAGAAGCACTGCCCTGTTGGGGGG